CCCGCATAGTTTTAAAGGCAAAAGCTCGACGTCGAGCTGCTGCTGCTGCTGCTCCTGTCTGTGTCTGTGTCTGTGTCGTCGTCGACGCCGTCATTCGTATGACTTATTTTCTTGCCTTATTGCATTTCATTCTCCTCCCTTTCAAGCTAACTATATCTCTCTACGTAACATCAAATAATTTCTCCAACTTTCAAACATCCTCACTCTCTCTCACGGCGCTGACACTTTAAACACTCCGCAGGGCACTCGTATTATAAGTACAACATTTTGCAGGCGCGTCCATTCAAACTTGGATATTCCTTGCACGTTTTCGTGGCGACTGCGACGGGAGGGGGCCTATACTCTCATCAGCGTGTAGTAAGTTTTCCGCGCCCGAGTTCGTGTATACATACATACACACACAGAAAGACATATATACGGTAAATATAAATGTGTACAGCTCCGCAGTGTGAAAAGCCGAGGCAAATTAAGCGCGCGAGTCTCTCTCTCTCTCTCTTGCCCTCCCGTGACTTTCCATTTATGAAATTAAGCTTACCGGCGAGCGAGAGCACGCACGGCGGCAGCAGCGCAGAGAAGCTCCGAGGATATATCCGAGAATAGCGAGAGCCGTTTTCCCTCTTGTGTAAATTTTAATTCTATGAGGAATTAGCGCGATGACGTTTATCTCTCAAGACGATATCGGCTGAAGATATTAATTTCCTCGAGGCTGCTGCCACCGTTGCTGCTGCTACTACTGTGGTCGCAATGATAAAATAAAATAAATATTCGATTCAACAAATTGCCCTGCAGGATCCACCACCACCACGCAGGGTTATAATACTTCTTTGTATAAGTAATACGGCTCTATCTCGTCTTAATTAAGATAAGAATGTTTGCCTTTGGAACGCGCGATGAGAGAGAGAGAAGGCGCGCACGCGAAGAGATGTAAAATTAAATTTTCTTAATTAAAAAAAAAATTCGCCTTTTGAAACAGCTCGATCCTGCGCAAAAGATATAAATTTATATAACTGGTAAATATTGACGTTCAAAGAAAAAAAAAAATAAGTAAGAAGAAGAGAGTAAGTCGAAACTGAACACTGCAATTTTCGAACACTCATCCAAGCTGCAAAGCTCATATACACACACAAGCGCGCACACACGAGCACTCGAATAAATTGCAATTGTTGCGACGAGCATATTGCTTCGGGCCTATAGTACTGCTGCTCGCGCGCATTTGTAAGTATATATTCTCGAACATTTTTCTTCAAAGAAAATTCGCGTATCGGAATGTAGCAGTGAGTATAGTAGCACTTTACAGGAGTCTCGCTTTGAGCATTTTCTCGAGACAGGGAAGGAAGAGCGCCGAGTCTGAATTCTATACCTTCAAAAATAAAAATAAAAAGGGAAAATATATAATTACGTCGAGACAAAAAAGTTGAAACGGTATATATTTATACGCGCGCGATCGCGACGGGGTTCGGGTTGAATCGTCTTCCGTTTTATATGGGCATGTATATAAGGTATCAGAATCATGAATATGCGATGTGCGCGAGCAGCGCCCGCAAGCACACCCAAATAAAGCTTCATTATTTTTCCATAACACTTAATAAGCTCTGTTCTCTCGGGACAATCCAACGCCCATCATCGTTTTTATAACTGTCAAAAGAGCTCGCGCAGGAGAGAGACGTGCGCTGCTGCTGTGGCGGCGGCGACGGCGACGATCGACACAACAACGAGGGGTCGCGTCCCCCCCGACCGTATATACACGTAGCATCAGCATCAGCAACGACGACGACGACGGCAACATCACAACTCCCAAAAGAGAGGAGTACTACTATGGAAAGGATGGCTTAAAAGGCATCGTTTATACGTGTATATAGTCTCGAGCGCGAATTTAATTTAATTGGCCTAAAGGCTGGAAAGAGTGGCCGGCGCTCCGTGCAGAAAGAGCGCCATGGGCGCGTTGATTGCGCAAGAGTCTAAACGACGCAGAGAGAGAGAGAGAGAGTGAGAGTTGCCCGCTGCAGGACGTCTGCGTGTTGGCTGTAACGCGCGGTCTCGTTAATTAAAAATTGTTAAAGAAGTTCGGTCCGCGGGGTCGGGGGACGACGATGCGGACGATCGATCGAGAGAGGCTAACTTTTGCTCGCAGCTCGGACTCTCGGATCGCTCCTGCGCGGAAACGTTTTCGTCGGGCGTGTTGAGTTTTTAGCACGCGCGTGCGACACTGTGTTGGTACTGAGATTTCTCGTATACAGTCGGTATTATCGATGTTTGATTGACGAAAATCATCTACGTTGATTAACAAAAAAGAAACGTCGTCAACGAGAAAATAACGCTATAACGGTTCGGACGTTCTATTAGAGGCCGTAAGTGACACAATTATCTAAAGCTTTCGAGTTATGGATATATATACTCGACGAAACATTTTTCGCCACTTGCGGATTTACAATACTCCATCTAGCGGTGGAATCGAAAAGCTCGCAATCAAATGCGACACCTTTCATTGCGATAAATCTTCTAACTAAACGAATCCTAAACAGATTCTGGAATAATAATCCTTACATTTTTTAAAAAAAATAAAACTTTAAAATAGTAAGCAACTTCACGAGAACAGCCGTTAGAAGTAAAACTTTAACCAAATTCTTTAATCGACACAACTGAGGCCCAAAACTTATTATTATTGAGGTTTTCACAAAAAGAAATTTTACTTTAAAAATAAAAAAGGAATACGCTCGCAGCTTGCCCCCCGAGTGTATTTGTTTTGGTCAGGACAAATAAACGCGCACATACGTTAGTTCTAAAAAATGCACGCATATATTCGAAATTAAAGGTATAGAGGAAAGCGGCGATAAGCAATAAATCATTCGTTTATCCAATTTCTCACCGCATCATCTTTCTCTCTCTCTCTCTCGTTCATATATAACCCAATACACGCGATAAACAAAAAGGAGAGAGAAAAAAACAACAACAACAATCCATTTCCCACGGGGTAGCTCGTGTTTTTTTTTTCTCCGTACGCGCAAACAACGCTGCCTGCACGCTCGCGCAGCAGCGCGTATACATACCGCAGCAGCAGCAGCAGAGCGCCCGCGGAAAGCTTCCACATTATACGATACACAGATCTGTGCCGCGGCGCGTACACAACAAGACCGCACAAATCATCAATATTTCACCGTGAAGTAAGAGCCAGAGAGAATAAATAAAAAGAAAAGAAGCGGGGCATCGATAGCCCACCTTTCCTCCTCCTCCTCTTACCCTAGTGGCGCGGAGAACTTTGGAGCAGCAGCAGCTACGCGTCTATACACCCTCTTTACACACAAAGAGAGAAAGAGAGAGAAAGGGAGGTAGAGGGAGAACCGAATGCGCACGCGAGAGCCCGTGTCAATAAACTTAATTCACGTTTCTCCTGGGAATTAAATACGCTCTGTATATATAGTACGCAGCCTCGCATACAGAGAGAGAGAGAGAGAGAGAGAGAGAGGAGCAGCAGCTACTGTTGCTCGGGCGCTGTAAAATACACCTCATACGTTTCATTATTTATTAAGCCTCCACCACGCAGTAGCAGTAGCAGCAACCAGCGAAAGGGTCCCAGAAGGTGTGCATAAGCGCGCACACACGCGCGTGTGTGTGTATGAAACGCGACATACATATATAGAGAAATGTAAGGTAGCAAACAAAAAAGGCACGCGCAGCAGCTATACAGCCGCAGCAGCAGCATGCCAGACCTCCATGCATATTCATACATTTTTACCCCGACGAGGTAGTTGGAAGAGGGAGAGAGAGACACATAGGAGGTGGAAATGCTCCTCTCCCGTATGTATGCGTATACCTTGTATGTATATATGCGCCCTCCACCCGGCCTGTTCTGCGATGATCGTTCGCAGAAAACGAAGTGGAGGCCCTGCATCATGTATACGATTATACGAATCTTGAATTTCTTCCTTTTTTTTCCCTTTCTTTTTATAAATTTGCATAGCTGCGATAAAGTAGAGAGAGAGGAAAGAGACGCGAGATGCGCGTCGGAATGCGCAAATGAAATGTACATGGGGGTTTTGTGTCGAGCGCGCGCGCCAGGCAGATAATAATAAAAAAAAGAGGAAGAAGAAGAGGGGTCGAGAGAGTGAACTGCACACACACTTAAACAATCGCGCATAATAAATATATTTACACACATTCCTGGAGAGATTCGTGCGTGAAAAAATGTCAAACAGCAGAAGCAGCGCCTGCAACAGTGGCATTTGCCTATAGTAGCACTCGTCGGGCTACAAGTACGTACTCGGTTCGTTAAATTTCAAGTTTGTGCAGCGGCAGCAGGAGCAGTAGCAGCAGTACCGGTATACATACACAGTGTGCGGATGTAAATACGATGCCGCGCGTTGCATCATCATCTCTCATCTCTCCATCTCTCTATATCTCTATAGATAGAATAGTATATAATTGCGAAAATTATGACGCGCGTTTCGCGCGTGAAATCGGGTCAATTAACGGGGTGCAGAGGCAGCAGGAGTATAAAACTAATTTTTGCGACGAGAGAGTCACGAGTCAGCTGCTGTTGCTGCCGCAAACACTGTGTAACGATATTCTATAGTTATACGTACGTAGGTATACGTATTTAACAAATACACAGAGAGGGATCAAGAGAAGGAAAATCACATATATAACGAGCTACGTTAACGGGGAGGGCATCGCTATTCATCGTCGTCGTGCGCTTATTCAATATATATAATATGGACGATGCATCGTATGGACTCTGGAGAGCGACGGAAATTAGGTCAAACAGCAGTCGATATGTTCAAAATATATATTCAATAATATATATCTCTCCTCCTCTTACCTCTGCTGCTGCTGCTGTAAATCGCATTGGGGAGGGCGATGACACACGCTTCGCGCGGCGCAGCGGTGGTCGATCGCAATCGAAATTCGTACTCGTACGAATATAAGTATATATAAAATGTCTATTTTGAATTGGGCACACTGTGCATGCGATATGTGTATATATACGTATGTAAAGTACTCACCACCGAGATCGGCCACGTAAATTTCGTGCAGTATCTTGTACTCCTCTTCCACGGGCAATTCGGGCCGGCCGAAATGATCGTTCTCGGGCCACACATCTCTGGAAAAAAAGGCACACAGACGAGTATTTAGTTTAAATGATTTTATCTGGGGCATCTTTTGTAGTTTGAGAAAAATAGAAAGAAAAAAACGCATAATGGAGTTCGGGTAAAAGGCAGATTTTCGAAAGAGAGAACTTAATGCTGAGCAATGAACATCGCTCCTATACAAATCCTTCATAGTATATACGGCGCTCTACAATGATACTTCAATTCAATCCTCTCTTGGTCTCCTTCTTTCTCTCTCGCTCGCTCTCTTGGTCTCTTTCCTATTCCAACGTCGCACATAGCACGAGTGTACACCATACATATCATATATATCTGTATACACGCGCTCCGGAGGCAGACAACACAGTCCAATCTCTCGCTCTCTCCATTATAAAAGGAGACTCTACGGTGTGTAGGTATATATATGCTACCGACTACTACTACTACTACGTGTGGTGGTACTCGAGTCGGTCGTACGGTCCAAGATCAAATTGACAATACACGCGGGGAGGTGGTAGCAGTAGTGGGTGCTGGAAGTCGGTAGCAAACGCGAGCGAGACGAGGCAACGAAAGACATAGAGTGCGAAGCAAAGGCGCCAAACTCACTCGACTGCACGGCAATGTCTGTGTGTATGTGTGGGTGCCGACAGAAGCTACAGCTGCAATCCTTCCCTCCTGAAACTATACGCATACGTGTGTGGTACGACGACGGCACGAGGGAGCTAGACAGAAAAAGCTGGCACGGGCGACGACGATTTTACATATATATACGGACACAAGTGTGCACGCGACGACGATGTCGACGAACTTTTGCGCCGTTTCTTCTTCTATTATATATATTTTTTCCTCTCTCTCTCCTCTCATTTTCTCTCGCATATAGCATTGCTGCACACAGCACGCGGGCAGGAAAGACTCGCGCATGTAGATAAATAGAAAGGAACATTGAAACTTTAGCGGTGCATAAATAGTTTATAAGTTTTTTGCCCTCGTCGTCGTCGTCGAGCCGACGCGAGCGAGCAACGAGCGACTTTTTCGCGTGTATGTGTGTATGTGATTTTGCACGCGCGCGAGCTTGCGGATACATACGCGTGTAGCCATGTATCGACGATGATGTAGCTTATGTATAAATTGATGTAAAAAGTTTGCGTAGGGAATGGGCCGCAAGAAATTATCCAGGCAAAACTACCCGCGCTACGACATTTTTCGAGTGCCCACGCAAAAGGACTCGTATCTGCAGGAATATGTACACGACGAATTAAAGTTTCGCTTCGATTTCTCAACGACTCGAGGAAGGAAGCAGCTTTGCCCTATAGCATTGGGCTTATGAGCATCGCGTGATAGAACTTGGTAAAAAAAAAATTTTTTTTTTTTGCCCCGACGACTGCGACGATTGCACCGATCGAGGAAAACTAGAGATTATCGTCGAGTATCGATGAATGGGTGAATTTTTCTACTTTTAGTTGACGTATTGCTGGCGGAAAAAGATGCGTGTATGAAAAGAACTTCGAGCAGCTTCCTCTTTACGCATTTGAATACACACGCGCACGCAGTGCGAAAAAGATAAAGATTATGTTTCCTATTTTTAAATTATTCATGAGAAAGGGTAAATGGTAAAAAATGCATGACGAAAGTTTTTTAATCAGCACAACTAATTACTTTCGAAACGTATATCGCAATAAAACTCGCAATGCACACGCGGCACGCAGAGCCAGCCGCGTAGGTAGGTATATATGACTACTGACCCAGAGGTAGCGAATATCATAGCTGCTACATTTATATACGAATTTTTTCGTAAAACTTTGAGCGAGCACCGCCGCCGCTGCTACTGCCATCGTTGTGTAGTCTGTTCTCTCACTCCCTTTCGCGATATAATTTTTTTTTCTCTCGCTAAATTCAACTCCGAGCCAGAAGTTGAAATTTCGTCATTAATGTCCACGTAGGCCATGCTATAATAATTTTCAAGATGTTATTGCAACGCGCGGCGTATAAAAGCCAACTATTACCCCGCAAACGCGCGCAGGCGGCAAAAACTTATGTGTGCAGAGAGAGAGAGAGGCTCGCCACCCCCGCGCGATCCGAGCAGCAAAAAGAAGAAACGCGGCGCAGAGAGCACGGAGGAAAAAAGCAAAGCGAGCAGCGAATGGAGAAAGTTTTGACGTGTCGGTAGCGTAAGGAATGGCTGCTGCCGCCGCTGATGCTACTATTGCTGCCTTCGCGCATACATACGCGCGCGGGGGTGGGTTTTAGATCTCTCTCTCTCTCTCTCCCCCGTTCTATATAGTTTATCCTATGGTATTTGCACGTATGAGCACACGCGTATAAAGCGCATCTATATGTATACACGGGCAAACGCGCGAGTTGTTGTTGCTGCTGCTGCTGCTGCTCTTCTCTCCGCAGGCATAACGCGCGGCAGCATTCCATTTCACCGAGAAACGGAGTAAACAACTAGAAGATATGAAGTGACTGTATGTATACGCGGCCGGTAATTCCGCAGACGGTAATGCAACACATATACATGCATACACAAATGGGCACTATAGAGTGCACGATGAAAACAAAATCAACTATGGCATTCGGTCGACTGTTGCTTCATATATAACAATGCTGCGGTATAAAAACTCGAAGTACGTAGTTACGTATTGAAAATTTTTCTTTGTTTTATTTTTTGTGTTTTTTGTTTTATATACCGACCACTTTATCGTGCGGTTAACATCAAAAATAAATCGAGATGCATATGGTTGTATTTATAATGTATACGCGTTTTTCGCAAATCGAGCGAAAAAGCATTCGGTCGAAAAAAAAGTTGTGATACGAACCACTCGTTTCATTTGCTGTATCGATAGTTCTCGAGTGAGGTTGCTGTGTATCCTGTTAAAATTATTCGTGAATTTCAAGGACTTTTAATGGACTTTAGTAACGTAACGTTTAAAGAGGCATACTTTTATGATCTTTCACATCTCTACCATTTTTACTCTCAAAAACCAATGAATTTTATGTGAAACATAAAATACCAACACAAAAATGTATGAAATAGTACTGATACATTGAATATAAAAAAATTTCGTTTACATTTATTTGATCACTGCGTAAATTTCCAAGTAAGGACTTCAATACTGCTTTTATTTTATGAAATTTACAATACTCGCATTAAAAGTAACGCAAAGTGCTTGAAAATTACAAAAGTTTAATGTATTCATAATTAAGGAAAGCACGTTGAATTATTTTCACTTTTTTTCAAACACACAGTAGTTCATAAGTTACCGCTAGACGGCGTCTGGCCGAATTCTCGTAATCCAAAAGAAAAAAGACAAAGTTTTAGTATCAAAAGCGAGATTTCATGGCAAGAATTCCTGAAAAATGATTTCTGTTCTTCCCTAAAAAAGTATTGATTTTGAAATTTCGTTCTTCAATTTTTGATCTAAAACCAAGAGCCAAGTGGTTAAGGGTGATGAGACACGTGCCTATTCTTTTCCCGTCCCCGTAGGTACGCAACTGTTCTAATTTTGAATCTTATCCACACACGTGAATCTTTAGTTACTATTAAGCGCCACGTGTGTGCAACAAAAAATCCAACCAACTTATACACGAAAACGTTCGTTTATATCTACCTACGCACTTCAGGCCGCTTAGCGTATTAAACACATCAACGCGTTGCGACGACTCTCAGCGAGAAATTTTACGCTCGAAACGCGTACACACACTCGCGCGCGGACTCGAATCCAGTTCAGCGAGGCAGCGGCGGGGGAGGCTGTTTTCCAACTTTGGGAAGCAATTTAGAATGAAATTGGCAGTATATAGGGAGCGCGGCAATACGGCACACGCCGACGACGATGACGACGACGCATTTCTGCGCGTTTAACCATCCAGTACTACTACTCGTTCGGGGCGCGGTGGCACTCGCGAGCGAGCTCGAGTGCAGCAACAACAGTTACGTATACGCATATATATCTATTTACATTCGAACGGATGAGAGACCGAGAGAGACTCTTTAGTGCGTTGAACTGTGCGTTACGTATGTTACGACGAAGCTTCGATTTTTTTTTCCATCAAATTGATCAGCGAGCACGAGCGATATTTCGAGGCGCGCCGTGCACATGTACCGGCTCTCTGGAATCGTCGATGTAAAGATACATGTGCAGGGCGCGCGCCCCGGCTTCGCAAATATGCATATCGATACATTTCGTTCGACTAGCTCACTTTTTCTGTCCGTCTCTCTCTCTCTCTCGTGAAATCAACGAATGCATAAGGCTTCCATCGCGCCCGATATAACCGTTGAAGTTTACAGTTACTCGCTCCTATTTTTATTATTATTTTTTTTGTTGTTGCCCGCCCTACGGACTCGGGATAAATTGAACTGGTCGTTTTTTTCCAAAAACGTAGCAAAGATACATCATTTTATTGAAATGGAAAGACTCATCCCTGTAGAGTAATGGAGAGAAAGAGAAGCCGTGCAAGTGTATAGTTGCCATTCGGACTCGGTAAATTGAACACAACTCAATAAACAAATGAGTAAACATTCTTGATTAAAACTTCAACTAAAGTCCCGGTTAAATAACACCCCTGCCTCCCTCATCGAGCTGTGCAGGCGAGGGTCGACCGTGTGTGCGTGTGCAGCAGTGCCGTATGATTTTCATCAACCTTTGAAAAGAAAACGAACGGGTGAAAATAATTAATCGATGAGTCTATCGTCAAAGCCCCATACATTTATAGGAGATACATTCGTGTTCGCGGGGGATGATTGAAAGGTTATTTTTTTTTTGCTTTTTTTCGTTTTTTCATTCGCGCGCACGTCGAAAATGGCTTCGCATTTGTTTTTCCTCTCTTTTACCCTCTCGCCGCCCGCTCTATATATATACTATATATCTCCATCGAACACCAAGAGAAAGAGCGAGGATACTAACACTTCAAAGGGACTCAACGAGCTTAAATTGCTGAAAGCTTTGGTCGGTGGCGGCGGCGGCGCTCTCGCGCAAAACCAATAAGCTGCTGCTGATGCTGCCGGCCAGGTCAGACG